AGAACATGCTTCTTTGATGCTCCCCGGCCGCCTCCTTGCTCTGGACAAGGGGGTGGTCACATTGAGCATCAATCCCTCTGACTGTCGCAGTGTGATTTCGCTGTTTCCCTCGATCCCTGAATCTGTCACCATGGCCAGTGATAAAATTGTCTTCCTGACCAACTGGTATGCCGCTGAACCCCTTCTTACTGACCATTCTGAATCACCATTGACCTTCCTCATGTCTTATCTGTATATGCACGTTGTTACTCAAAGCTTATTGAACTCAGGCACGCGACGCCCTACCATGCCCCACTGTACCTTGCACAAGCCAAAGGCTTCTTCAACGACGAAGGTGTCAAGGTTGCTTTGCTCGAACCAAACGATCCGAGTGTGAGTGATGTCGAGGTACGATTCGTCGTGCGTAATCCCGACTAAATGTTTCGCAACTAGGATGTTACCGAGATCATCGGGACTGGAAAGGCAGATCTCGGCTACAAGGCCATGATTCACACCCTTGCGGTAAGCAAAGGAATCCACTCGAGCACTGCTCCTTGCGCCATTTTCCGATCACTGAAGTCTTCACGTGATGGTTGTAAAGGCTAAGGCCCGCGACTTTCCTGTCACGTCCATCGGTAGCCTCTTGGACGAGCCTTTCACTGGCGTAGTCTACCTGAAGTCATCTGGCATCACGACCGACTTTCGTACACTGAAGGGTAAACGCATCGGATATGTGGGCGAGTTTGGCAAGATCCAGATCGACGAGCTGACCTCCCACTACGGTATGACGCCCTCGGACTACACGGCCGTGCGATGCGGAATGAACGTGTCCAAGGCCATCATCCGCGGCGAGATCGACGCGGGGATTGGCCTCGAAAACGTGCAAATGGTGGAACTCGAAGAATGGCTCGAAACACAAGGGCGCCCAAAATCGGATGTGCAGATGTTGCGCATCGACGAGCTGGCCGAACTCGGCTGCTGCTGCTTCTGCACCATCCTGTACATCGGTAACGACTCGTTCATCGCACAGAACCCGGACAAGGTCCGCGCGTTCATGCGCGCCGTCAAACGAGCAACGGACTTCGTGCTGCAGCAGCCCGAGGAGGCGTGGAAGCTGTTCATCGACTTCAAGCCCGTGCTGAACACCGCTCTGAACCGGAAGATCTTCGAGCGCAGCTTCCCCTACCTGTCCAACGATCTGAAGAACGTCAAGAGAGACTGGACCAAAGTGACCAGTTACGGAAAGAGACTGGGCGTTCTGGACCACGACTTCGTCCCGAATTACACCAACGAGTTCCTTCAGTGGCCGCTTGCCGAGGAGTCGGCCGATCCGACCGGTGACCAGAAGAGAATGGCCGAGCTGCAGTGCAGTGTCAGGGCCAGGGGTGGTCTCCAGCGACTTGGTGCAGTAGCTGCTACCACCGAGACCGCCGTGGCGGCTTGAGGGCGGTCTTCCTGATCGCTGCTGCAAACATATGGCAAGCACTTGTCGTATGGTCTATGACTATGACTCTGGACGAGAGAAACATCCGAGCCAGTCTTTCTTTTAGCTTGGGCTCAACCCATGGTGTAAACATGAAGGGAACAATTTTTCGACCTCAGACGTCGAAGGTCAATCTTCCGCTCACTCCTTGTACTTCGGGGAGTGCCATTTTAAGTTTCTAACGTAGGAGTGTCACGCCTGCCCTGGTTCCTGAATTGAACCAAGATTCTTATGCATTGTTTGCGCGGAGATTCCTGACTTTGCCTACGTGCGAGCGCGAGAGAGCTCCGTCACCAACCTCAAACCCAAGCTGTGATGCGACCAGCACAGCACAAGCACGCGTACGAGTAGTAACTCACTTCGACCAGCACTGCAGTGTGGACAAAGTGACAAACAGCACAGTATTGATTGATTGGACGCGCCACCCGGCCCGGCCCGCTGTCAAGCGATTTTGCTGGTGAAGATTTCCCCTGTTACGGCAGGGCTGCTGACCAGAAATGGTTGCAGGCAGATTGGATTCGTGAGTGCGTCGTTTCCGAGTGGTCGGGCTGGGAGAGATGTGACTGGCGGGGACGTGTACGTTGTGTTACGTTGTGTCAGATCTTCTGTGGGTGCGTAAATATATGTCTGTGCGAAGATCTACGGAGAAAAAGCGAGCGCTGAGAGAGATGAAGATGTTGTGCACTTTTTTCTCGCAGCATTACTGATCTTGGAAGATGTGGTGGGAAACGTGTTCAGAAGTATTATCAGGGGTCTTACAGTATGTGTCCCTTAGTGGGTTGGCTTCTGAGGGCACAAGTTGTGCTGTTTATTCATTCATGAGATCTGAGGTCGGATGAGGAAGATTGCGCTGTCGTAGTTTCCATGAACGTGGACATGCCATATAAGGGATTGACGATTACTGTGATTCAGCGGTAGCATAATCGAGTGGAGTCATAGCCCGTGGACAGGCTGCTAGGTACCTACATAAGTATAGAAAGACCAGTAGAAATTCCTGGTTGTTTTCGGGACGGCTTGACATCAATATTATCTACAACTACTGCGGACAACAATTGTGAGGTGTCATAAGGTGTAGGACTACGTGGTCGGGGAGACGCAGAACATCAGGGGTGGGTATAGGCGACTATTGGAGACCGCTCCCAACAAAGATGCTGAAGTGGTCGACGGATGTGGAGTAGATAGGTGCTTGAAAGGTTGAGGTGAGAACTAGTCTCTAGAACACAGGGACGAACGGTCAGGTGCATTATTGTACTGCTGCATCCACGGCACCAGCTAAGTACTTCGTAGCAGGAACTCATAGACATGGCTCCTGTAAGGCCCATAAATGATTCCAGTGCAAAGGTTAAGGAGAGTTGTTTCTGATATCTCTGCGGGTTCTGGGGGAGCGCTAGGCAAAGGAGTCGACTTTCAGGAGAGGAATTTGACGTGTACTCTGTCCATCCCTTTTCACTTTTGACGAGGGCACGATGAGAGTATTGTGTACGATGGTGTCCGCAAAATGTTCAGATGGTATTCAGGGTTTGATAGTGAGGTGGTTGGTCTCATGCTGGTGTGAAGTTTATTTGGAGTCCGGTTCCCATCTTCGGCAGCTAGAACGAAAAGAAATGCTAGTGGATCGCTTTAGTGGCCTCTCATCTCGTGTTCGACTGAGTGCTTGCATACTAATTACTCATCTGGATTAGCATAGAATTCGTGATAGGGGAGGGGACGATCTTTGGAAGATCGTTACTCGGACGGAATTGGGGGACAGGTCTCTCGAATCTAGATGTTGACAACTGCATGAGATTTTACGGAGTATGTTGGACGGATATCTATGGGGTCTGAAGCGAAAGTGCAATACCTTAGAGAGGAAGAAGACCAGCAACTAATCAGAATTGGTGGTGCAGAGGAACCAGTCAGACATGATATGTCTCGCTTTTAGTTGATAGTGTCCTGCAGGAAAGATCAGGCGAGGAGCCAAGCATGGAAGCGAACTGCCAGGCATCTGCTTTCAGTCAAGGACAATGCGGAGAGACACGAACACTTGTTGGTCTTGGAAAGAGAAAGCGCAATCCTCCAGATTCGCACGAGGTCGAGAAGGACAAGGACCCATGGGCCACACTACGGAGTAGGGACGTTCTACTTCGTACATGTGTATCGGACGAAGGTGCTAGCGTCAAAGAGTCCATCGTGGGCGGCAACTGACGACTCTGAGAGGTGCACCTATCTGCAGGCTGTCTGCTATCTTCGCCGTCAAAGCAATTACTCGTTAGCCTCAAACCAAGTGTAGGCTACTTGAGCCGCTTGATGTTATCAGAAGCTAACTGGAGAATGACAATTGCTCCCAGCAAATTGCTGCAGCAGTTTGTGAAACTCCTTTCCTGGTTGTGTGGTGAATTGGAATTGACACAAAGGCTGGCCTTGTGTTCCGTAGCCGATGAGAATTGTGAGGCAGCAGGCCCGAGGTCCCAAACCGCCACTGACTGTTAGGTTGTTACAGGCTGCCCTGTCTACCATTTGGGCGCCGGGGGTGGAGGTCGACACAACACGATGGTCAAAGGCATGATCGTTGACAAGCAAGCGCGATGCGATGCCGTGATGGCAACTTCAACCATGTGGACGCGATCATCAGCGGCTGATCAAAATGTTGCATATTTGACTACATGCTTGATGCTCCATACGAGGTAGTGGTGTAACTGTGCAACAGGACAATCTTGGAATCTTGCAGTCTATGCGACGAGCGGCTAAATGGGGGCAAATCTCAGTTGCATAGCCAACGCAAGACTGAAATCGAACCGAAAGTGGCCCCCTCCCCCCGGCGGAACAAGCGATTCAAGGGCATGATGCAGATAACAGAACTTGAATGCAGGAACCCACCAGCCTTGGAACTTGTGGGCGAATGAACAACGGAGCGCAAGAATGAAATCTCAAAGGTTTCCAATCAACTCGGGGCGTTCCAGGCGCTAGGACAAGGTCGCTAGGCCACTCGGAGTCTAGTCCAGGTACCGAGGTCACTCTAAAATCATGCTAAACGCCCTAAGTGGACCCCTAGGGAAATTTGGCATGCCTGGCATTGGTGGTCGCCCGGAGGTTTACATTCTTGAACTCCACCCTCAATGAGCCCCCGTCGCGGCGCAATCAGCCAGAGCAGCCAAAGCAGCCCAGTCAAATGCTTGTCGCAGACGAACAGAACGCTGCAATCGCACGCAATCTGCTGGTCCTGGCCTTCGAGTTGGTGGGTGCACCTGCACCCACTTCTTTCCCCTGCCTCGCCATCTCCATACGAGTATTTGCTTCCGCCACATATACTTGCTCGTGCGGCCCTGTGCACACTGCCTCTCCTCCTCCACTCTTCACCACAGAGCCTCATTGCTTTCTGATAGCCTCTTGCTGTCGTCCGAGTCACTGAGCTCCCTCTCAGATCATCCAGTCGCTCGTTGATCTATCTGAGCAGTGCTCACACGCGCCATCCATCAGCAAGCAACAAGCTTACTCACGCTGCCGCTTTGCATTTGTCCCAGCATACGCGACAACTGCCTCATCGCAAAGACAACCTCTCAACTCTGAATCCATTTACTCCGTCACTATGCGCTTCACATCCATAACGGCTGCTGTAGCTCTGCTGCTAGCACCAGTTGCCTTGGCAGATCTCCCTCCTGGAGACTGGTCCGGAGAGACGACCGTCACTGTTACCTCCTCCTACTCGACAACATTGACCATCACCAAAACTCTTACATTCGCCCACGCCAACATCACCTCATCTTCGGCGCATCCAACCGGCTGGAATGCTACTTCAGCCACAACCGGTGCAGCCACCACAGTCAACAAGCCAACGCTCACTGGATCGTTAACATCGACATCCGCAGTCGCTATTGCGACTGCAACAGGAGCAGCGAGTGCTCAAGAGATCAACTTTGCAGTTGCTGCTTTGGCAGGTGCCGCTGCCATGTTCTGGGGCTCATTATGACCAGTCTAAAGTCAATGTCGACATGTGTACCATCCAGTCGATCAACACCATTTCATTTCCTTTTTTCTTTGACTGTGTCAATATTCAACTGAGCACTAGCTTGCTCTTTATGGTATCTTACGCCTTGCGATTGAGATACCCAACTACGATTTCATCTCTGAGAGAGCTTGGAGGACAACGGAGGAAGCCTACATCGATGTGACCGCAGCCGGTCTCATCCGTGGCAACTTTGGGGATGTTCAGCCAGCGCCTGGGGCGCAAATGACTCGACTTATTGTGGGAGCGATTGGTTGATGTTTATCAGGGGGAGGCTGCATCGGTAAGCAGAAGCAGCCGGGCAAGTTGAGCATCTGTGGATGGTTGCAATAGTGTGATGTAGAGAAGAGATGGCATGGAAATTTAGCTATATCCATGAACACGACCCGATACGACATATGCTTTCACACTTACGCGAGTGCAAGCGAGTCAGATTTTCTTCTATTGGTTTTCTGCGCCATAGACAGCCTTTGTAATGTAGACCCCAGTTTGGTACAGTTTATCAGCACCAGCTTGTAATTGAAATTCAAGAGAAATATCAAGCAAGAACCCATGAAACGAATGGTGTCGCAAGAACCATGCTGAACAACCGCCTGCCTAGGATGATGCTTGTATTTCCAGTGGAGTTTGGAGTGCCTCCGATTTGAAACCAGTAACCGCGGTGAGAGCAGGCTTCGATCCTCACTAGTACCTAGTACCGAGTACGGATAGCACTGCGCAGCAAGAATGTGCATTACACGCCGCGTTGCTACTCACAAGGCCATGGCCATACGATCGCGTCCAGCCCGCGTTGCCTTGCTTGATCATTTTCCAGGCGGCTGTCGTCAATTTGGTCCTTACCTGCTGAGTCGCTATCATGAAGATGTCGACAGATTCTTAAGTGCCCGTCAGGGACCGAGGCCAACGATGGTTGCACCTAAGTCGGGTATTAGTGTGGGGCTTTGAACTGATTGCGAAATCTCACATGACGTTGATAGTTGTGGTCTGTCTTTACCGCCGACGTTGATTGACACTGGCACTGACATCTGACGATGGAGGTCAAATCAAGTGAGGAAATCTGGGGATTTTGAAGTCGGCTCACTCTCGCAAGCCAAGCTGTCACGTGAGTCTGCTGACCTAAGCAATTTGATGGTGGATCGAAGGAAGGTGTCATGCAAGGCGGGCGTCGGGAAGGCACGCGCCCCTACCCCCCACAATCGCGTGTGCTCCAACAACAGCACGCGCCTTCTTTGCTCTCAACTTTACTCACTTTTTCGCATAGCCATCTTTGCCGGCGACCTCGCCTGGGCTTCGTCATTCGCTATTTCAACCTAACGAGTGTGTGCATATTCTCACAACGCTGCACTGTTCCTTCAAACCGACGCAAAGACCATCAACACAGCCCTCGTCACCAGTCATGGATGACGTCGACCTGCCCCCAATTCCTTCCTCCACCCGCCAAACAACCCCAAGTCGCCCACGTCCAACGACGCTGCTCACCCGTAAACGGACTCATCCTACTTACGACGATGATCCTGCTACCTCGAGCGACCCGGCCCTCTTCTCGAGTGACGAGCATGCTCCTGATGCAGAGAATTATGCCTCTGGAAAGCGTAAGAAATATACATATCGAGGCTCCTGGTGGGACCACCAGCGCGTCAACACGTCCAAGTCGAAGAAACGTGAATTCCGTCGCAATTTTGACTCGGGTGTCTTTATGGGAAGTGAGACGAGTGATGAAGGTTTATCCAGTGATTCTCTTGGGCTCGAAGATGAGTTGCTGCGGGATCAAGGGCAAATGAAACGAGGTTCCCGCCCGTCTCCGTTGTTCACTATTGAGTCGGTCGAAACTACACCAAAGGCAAAGACTGTATCGAGACTAGCATTGTCTGCAATGTCGAGTGAGCACGATGCAGTCTGTCGGATTGTAGACCACGCCCTGGATAATGGAAAAGAAGATATCGATCTGTCGTATGTATCTTCCACATATTACAGTTCTTCTGCTATCTAACCACTACCATCTCATAGTGCCATGTCGCTGTCGACTCTGCCATCCGAAATCTTATCTCTGAATACACTTAGCAAAAATACTGAGATCGTCACAGGCATGCTTGATGTCGGCACTGATCTAGAAGCAAAACTTCGACTCTATATGGCCAACAACTGCTTCGTCCAATTCCCGACTCCGCTCCTGGACCTGCGTAACCTCCGTGTTCTATCTCTTCGTCAGAACAGACTCATCTCGATTCCCCCTGCCATCAGAGAACTAGTCAATCTTGGGTCATTGAACATCGGCGGAAACTTTTTGCAAGAGCTTCCTTTCGAGATCGTCGAGCTGGCTAGGTTTCACAGTCTCAGAAACCTTACGACTAATCCAAACCCCTTCAACATCCCAGTGCCTTACAACGCACCTAGTTCGGAAAGGATGGACGATCAGAAATTTGAGTCTCCAGACGACAACCAAATTCCCACCTTCTACCGACGGAAAATGACAGAACTTCAATTCGAGTCAAAGTGCAAAGCCAATGTGTCTGCGAGTACTTTGGGAGTGCCGTCTCTAAGGGAGTTGGCACTCCGCAAAATGTCACAGCTTGACCCCATGTCACAGATAGATTTCCGAGAAATCATGCCAGACGATTCGCCGGAAAGTATCCTAGAAGATCTTTCTTTGCTTAAAACTCAACCAAGCAGACGCTGTACGAGGTGCCATCGAACAATAGTTCTTGCCGCACAACAATGGACAGAATGGTGGCGGCTCCCTTACGGGACTGGTGAACCGTTCATATGGCCGAGAGCTTACGTCCCGTTTACGAGACTCCTGTGCTCGGCGGACTGTCCTGGCGAGGAAAATTCGTGGTGCGGCGAGCCGACCATTTGAATCCGCGTGTTTACTTCAGAGCAGGCAGGAGGGTTGGAGAGAGCCTAGCCAAAAATTGTTTGTAAATATGCTGTCGAAGTATCTTGTCAGACCTAGCTGTAGCCCAGTATTAGGAGAATCATACATGCTAAATGTAGGATCAACGGCACCGTGGTGTACAATACCAAAATTCTAAATCGGTCCACGTTTCTTAAAATCGCGCCAGTATGATTTCTCCTCCATCTACAAGAAGAGTGTTAGGGAACTCATTTTGCAATGTCGCTGTGTGTACACTGAGTCTACGGCTCGAAAACGCCAGCACCCCGTCCGGTCATGCTTATTCAATATCCTCAGAGCTCGCACTCGAGGCGAGTCAACAAGGATAGTTCACCAACTGCAATGAAATCCACCAAGGTTTCCAAAGACATGAAAGTGATTTTGTTTTTAAACCTGTTTTTTCTTCTTGTTTGATCGTCCCTTAGAAGACAGCTAGCTATCTATGTAGTCTATGAACCTAAGGGAACATTTGTCGCTGAACAGACGCAGTGCCAGATCAGATCAGATCAAATCAGAGCGGGTTTTGCTTCCCGCACCCCTCGACCCCTTGCTCTGGCTTGCCTTGCTGGTAGTGTGCTGCCACCGAGACAGCTTATTTGACGTCGAAAAACGTAAAGATTTGGAACAAATACAAAAACGCCCATCCACCCGCGCGCCCGCCCCAAAAAACATAACATATCCTCCTCGCTCGGTTTTCCTGCCGACTCCTTCTCTCAAGTGCCATTTCCAAAAAAAAAAAAAAAAAAAAAGTTTTTTTTTGATATGGGGGGCAGATCCAAAAAAACACCCAGAAGCAGAAGGAAGGAATAAAGAGTGAGACTGC